AGGCGCTCACTCTGCTCAGCGTTGATTTTTTTATTTGAATATGATCCACACTCCAACCACCCCGTGACTGACAATCACGATGCTCTATCTGACGCTGTTGAAAAGGGATCTGGATAGACTATCGATCATTTGCTAGAGCAATTCCGATGCGACAAGGAGACAGCACTGTGGCATCTCCAAAGACTTGTGAAGATCCGAAAATATAGAGTTTGGATCCCACATGCCTTGAGCCCGAATTCAGCTCCAAACACGATCTGACATCATCATGTTCAAGTCGACTTACTATGGATTCTTCGATTGACCATCCATCACATTTGCCGAAGATGAGGAGTGGGTACAGTGTGCTAACAAATAAACAAGCGGCGACAGTCCAGCTCAAACGCTTCGGGAGTTCTTACTGCTCAAGTTCAACCTCGTCCAAGTAGGGCCTTCTCGGATTTTTGGTGGAACACGAGAGGAGTTGAGCTCTGGAAACCCCTACGTGTAGATGTCGCAGTCAACGCGAAAGTCAACTATCCACAGCTCGAATGCAACGCTTTTAATACGAAAGAAAAACAAGGCAAAGTTTGCTTTTATGACACCGTTGAACCACCTCTTGCTAAGAAAATCCAGGAAAATTTTAGGACTCTCGGACAGAGAGTTCATTTGACCTTATAGCTCCGACCTCGAGCCAAAGGATGCCCCTCTGCACAAGATTATAAGTTCAGGAACATAGGGTGCATGACGCTACGACGGTGTTCGACTCTGTCGCGCAAGCGGCGAGGCGAACGCTGCGACGTCGCTCCATTTTTGGGTTCGCTGCCCCGAACAGCAGGGGCGGCGTCGTTGACCGCTCTCACACTAGTGCTGGCATTGTGCACTGGAAAGCCTGCAACCGCGCTCTGACGCAAACGTGGGTTACGGTATACATCCTATGTTCCTTAACTTATAATCTTGTCCCATCTGCATCCTTCTCCAGACCACGTTCGCATCCTAACATCGTGATGTCAAAATCGACACCTGATCTTTCTTCGATTAGCATTCAGCGAAGTTCTACAAGAGAGGCATCGAACAGCTTCTAGTGCGTTGGCAATAGGTTGTAGATATTGATGGTGTGTATCATGCTGGATGAATGGAACAAAAAGATAATAAAAATATTAAATCAAAATTCAGCCAGTTTGTTGCAAGACTTATGGACCAACTAATATTTTACTTCACAAACCATAGCATCATCACGTTACTAAGCGTTTATTGACAAGATTGCAAAGAAGGAGTGGACACAACTAATGGTGTGAAGAATGCAACAGGACTACTTATCAGCTGCCTTGATTACGTTGAAGCAGTCGTTGTGCACAAGCCATTCACCATCAACCTGCAAAAGGAGATTTTTCTTCGATTACCTACCTTTCAGCAGAATGGTAAAACGTTTGCGTAAGAAAATCTCGTGGGTGAAGGGTCGTGATGACGATGGCAGGAGGGCGGTGAGTTTTCGATAACGTCACTCAACGCCATTGGTGGACTAGATGCCAGAGTGGTGGGGGTCTGATTGGGACCACCCCTTGAAAGTCAAGCCCTTTCCCCCCTTCATAAAATGGGTGAGACTTTGGGAAGAGATTTTTGTAGTGAAGCTGGAGGTGAGGAATGGTCTAGGATATAGAGAAAGTAAAAGAAATCCCTAATTGCGCCCAGATTGAGGGGACCGCATTTTCTATTTCAGCTGCATTCATAGGCAATGGGCGCGTTGGACACTTCCACGAACCTAGCTTCAGTTCTCCACTGCCAGCCTCAATGCAACCGCTGCTGCAATTGCGTCCCCATTTTTCTGCAGTGTCACGTGGCAGCCGACAGCGGAAGGCGGGGCTTGCGGACGAAGGTGTGGATTGCGGGTCGAGCGAGCTCTAGCGCCTTTGTCGCCAATTTCAAGCCGCAAAAGTGGCGCAACATCAACGCTTAAATCTGTATACTATGATTGGGGATGGGATAAGTGAGCCTGCTTTTTATGTCCTTCTACCAAATGAGATTCAATGCCGTCATTAAACCATACGGCCCACCATTGTGAGCCATCGTCATCCTCCGCCGCCTTTAATGAAGATCAATTCACACCTTCACACCTACAGGTAAAAGCATACCTTCTTCCAAACCTGCAGATAGGCTCCACTTTCTCTGCCTCGAGTCCCGTCTAGATGATAGCTTCCTCTTTCAAATGCCCAATCTCCGCTTCCATTAACTTCCTCGGTGATTATCTTAAAAGAGTTATCGAGGGAAAAGCATGGAAATGGGTAAGTTCAGTGATTCAGTTACCTGAGCTGTTTGAACGCCATCTCCCATGTCCTCTTTGAAGTATGCTTCAATCCCTGCAATACCAGAAAAATTAAATCGTTAGGAAACTGGAACTGGAATTTTTTCAAGGTAAGAACAGTCTTGCCCACCAGCGCGTCCTTTTACAGGATGGCGTCCATTTGGCATGAAGTAGCCATCGGGATCGTAAACGGCTGCTGCACCTTTCGCATCTCCAGCGTTAAACGCTTTCATAAAAGCTTGCTGGCGATTTTTGATCTCTTGGAAAAGAGCTAAACTAGAGCAAAATTTGAACAAAATCGCAGACGAGCCCAAAATTCAAGTTTTTTTAATGATAGTCCAGATAATTGATTATACGGAATTTTTGTTAACAACATGCGTCATACAGGGGCAAAGCTCCACTACTTTACTCGTGTGCATTCTTCTGACAATTTTGTTGTAGATTGCCCGACTTCAGCTTCTACATCACTCTCCTAAGCGAGATGGCGAAATGCACGCTGCACCGCAAGTCGTTCAAAGATAAAGATCATGATGGCTGTTTTGATGACGTCATTACACGTCATGAATGGACTAGACCCCTTACTGCGGTTGTCACCTCCTCTCAACGCTCTTCCGCCAATGACCTTGAATGACATCATCAAGAGTGCCCCGCCCTCCAGCCATCGTGACCACTGTCTTTAAATCTTTATTCCAATTTTTCATTCATTATTCCAAGCACGAATTTACGTTGAAGAGTATTCAGAGTGGCGATGAATGCTCCAAATGTTTTCATGTTTGCAGGCCTGCTGAGGTCAGCTCATCGAGATCATTCAGACGCATAACCGTTGTTATATCAGTTAAAATTTCATTTGAACCAATAAACCATGGTTAAATATTGTTTCCAAACTTGCGAGGGAATTAAGATATTTTTTAAAAACGCGAGAGTTCGACCACCGTGGCGACGTAATGTTGAATGACTTTTCAGTTGTGCTTTTCAAAAATAATCACGGGGAAGCATGTTCATTGGAGAATCGATTCCACAAGGAGCCCACATCATTATTCCTGGGTGCTTGCCGCTTGCCATGATTAAATCTCATTTCGTCTCTCAGAAAAGGACGCTTTCAAGTGGTAAAGTGTGAGGCAGAGCAGAGGGAAACCTTCACGGCCCAGCTCGGAAATATAGCAAACGTGGAAGACAGATATGGCTTAAGCGCTACCAGGCGCATAACCGGTTCCATTAGAACTTACCACGGCGACTTGGCACCTCCTCCTAGGAAATGAACCCGTCCTACCCGGAATAGTTCAACCCGGAAATTCGGAATTATTCAGATGAGTGTGCACGTGATTGATTGCGTGACACGAGACGCCTCTTTCCTCTGACCTTCCACTGTCTAATGTCTTCTAAACAGCGTAGCAATATGCGAAAAAAATTGGTATGCTGGAACATTCCGTCGCTCGGACTTTAGTTAAGCTCAACTAAGATCCATGCATTTCTCACAAGATGTGCGGAAGGGGGATTTAGAGGGAAAAGTCATCAGTTCGATCTGTAGAAGTTTTGGAGCAGGAAAGCGCAGTGGTAGTGATGCTGACTCACGGGAAGGGCCTCGTGGGATCGACGCCAATGCGAGCTCATGTTTGTGCACTTTTCGGAGGTATGTCAACAGCCTTTCTTGTTGTACTGATGAAAAAAGGATAATTTCACACTCGAATTGGGGTCGATCCTACAACCTCTTCTCTGTGAGTCGGGGTCACTGCCGCTGCGCTTTCCTGCGTCGTACCTGTTCCCGGAAAATCGTTCCACAGATGACGAAAACAGATTCGAACGCGAGGCGGTGGAGACACGTCTCATTTTAAATGGCAGAGCTGACCAAGCGATGTTCCCCGTTAGTATGAACGTCAGAGAGAATTTTTATATACCTGATTTGAATAAAGACCTATCTAGGAAGCAGATATGCAGTCCAACAGACGTCGAGTACTACAAATCTGCGTGGATATCTCCATCAGCGCTTCCCACGAAAATCAGTAACTGCGATTCCGTTAACACCTTTCAGTACACCTCCGTTACCCAACCAGATGCTTCGTCACACCCATGATGCTGGTTAGGTTGAAGACAAGAGCCAAAAGTCGACCTTTGCAAATCAGCTTAATAAGTAAGGCCTGACATTGTTATTCTTGATATGTGGATGCTGAAATGTCAATCGAAAGGTAAAAATACAGAACAGAATTTAAGGTGGTATGCATTTTTGGGGTTGTAGCCTTGTTTTGGGAAATAGCGTTTCGATGAGATGGGAATCATGACGCAATCTTCATCAATGAGATGAAGTTTGACGTGGTTGAGCAAGTTGATAATTATTAGTTCAAATTGATAGTTAGTGATAGATATTGATAATCGGGGATGACAGGGAGTTGACGGCCACTGCATGGCTCGTATGTAGGAAGGCCTGCTCGCTACATATTCGGGTTATTTGGGTTATTATTTGGTTTATTGGTTTATTTTGTGAAAGGAGCACTAAGCCTTTTTTAAGATTGAAGCGGATAAATAGGTACTCATGTTCTACATGGAAAGATCGTAAATTATCTTTTCTTCTGGAAGTTTCCTTAACCAGGAACAGGGTGGTAAGTGATGAAGTCAAGAACACTGTGAACTTACTGGAATAGGTCATTTTTCAACTTACAGTTATTAACGGCATTTAGAAGAGAATTAGCCAGAGGAATGTGACGAAAGTAGTTGGTCATGGTCACGATGTTTGGAACAAACAAATTGACGAGTTCTCGCACACTCACCACTCATAGCTGCAGATGACAGGTCGAGCTGTTATTCCGTCTCTCAATCCACTCGCTTGACGCCGTGTCTTATATACTGGGGATAATCGCTTCCTATAGCTGCAACATGCGTCTCTAAACTGCCGGAATTCAAGCACTGAGCCATGTCGGCCATTATCGTGTCTCCATTAGAGTGCTATTCCAGGTACATACTTGAGAACAGGCCATACATCAACAAAATGGACAGATCATCAGCTTATATGGAATGTTTTTATACCTAGCACATTACATCTATGTGCATATTTCCATATCAAGTATAGGGACATAGCGAGCAAGGGAGCCAGGGCGGGCTAACACTGAGGATTCCTTCGAGGGGTGATCGTATTTGGAGTTCAGGCGAGGGTCTTATTGGTTGGAGTGGATAGCGAGTAGGGCTAAGTTAGGGTAAAGGAACTTTTTGTCAAAATTAAGTGTTCAAGAACTTTCTACAAAATTTGGTAGAAATTTCACAAGTTCTCTTTTCTGAGCGTCCACCCGTGCCCCTGCACCCTCATCTCCCTGTTCGATGAATATTTTTGGAGAGATTGAGAGATTGTTCAAGAATAGTTTCGGAAAGAATCAGAGAGATGAGTGCAAAGAGAGAGATTAGTCAACAGCCTTTCTTGATGAAAAACGGATAATTTCACACTCGAATTGGGGTCGATCCTACAACCTCTTCTCTGTGAGTCAGGGTCACTGCCGCTGCGCTTTCCTGCGTCGTACCTGTTCCCGGAAAATCGTTCCATGGATGACGAAAAAAACAGATTCGAACGCGAGGCGGGTGGAGACACGTCTCATTTTAAATGGCAGAGCTGATCCTAGCGATGTTCCCTGTTAGTATGAACGTCAGAGAGAATTTTTATACACATGATTCGAATAAAGATCTATCTAGGAAGCAGACATGCAGTCCAATAGACGT